GAGAGGTGTGTGTGTGCGCGCGCGTGTGTGAGAGTGAGAGAAGTGTGTGCGTGCGTGTGCGTGAGAGAGAGAAGTGTGTGCGCGAGTGTGTGTGTGAGAGAGAGAGGTGTGTGTGTGTGTGTGTGTGCGCGCGTGTGCGTGCGCGCTGGCGCGCAGCGGGAGAGAGGGAAGGAGGGACCGAGGGGGAGGCAGCGGGCAGCGGAGGGAGGGGCGCGCGGGCAGCGGTGGGGCGGGAGGGGCCGGGGCGGGGAGGGGAGAGGCTCGGGCTTCAGCAGTGACACTCAGAGCGAACACACACTCCCCGCTCGGAGCCGCCAGACAGCGGAGCGAACTGAGCCGCGCGCCCGCCGCCGCCCGTGCGCCCGGCCTCCCAGCGCCGCGCTCCCGCCGCGCCAGCCCGGCCTGGCGCCCGGCATCCTCCCGCCGCCCAGCCCCCGCACGCTCCCCGCCTTTTAAAAGGCCCTCCCGCCGCTCCCCACCTCTGCCCGGGATTCCCCGGCCGGCGCGGCTCCCCGCTTCACTTCGCAGCAACTTCGGCGGCCGTTCGCCGCCCGCCTTCGCCCGCCTTTGAAGTTTGCTGTGCCGACCACAAAGTTGGGACACTTCAGCCGATTGCATTTTTCTCCTTTATCTGCTCCGCCCCCGCCCTCCGGTCTCCTTGGTTCCTGGCTACCCGCGCTTAGCATCTTGGCCGGTCTGGGGACGTGGACTGTTCCGCACACCACACCTCAGGGAGGGATTTCTCCTCTTCCCCCTAGGAAAAACAAACGGATCTTTTTGAGGTAAGTAGCGCGAGGAAAGCAGTCCCCGACGCCCGAGCGTCAGCCGGCCGCCGGGGCCCGGCACAAGGGCGTTCACGCTGGCGGGCTCCTGCGGGATGGGTGTCGGGGCGCGCGCCCCCCGATTTAGAAGGGCCCAGCAAGGTTCTCAAGGGCGCCCGATCCCGAGAGCTGCGGGCAGGAGGGGTGTGGAAGCAGGTCTCCCTCGGTTTTTCAGGCTGCTTTCGTGGCTGGGCGGCCCCGAGAAACGTTAGGAGGCGGACAGACATCGCGCTGGCGGGGAAGGCGCGGGGACCGGGACCCCGGGGTGCGGGGGGTCCGGGAAGCCGCAGAGCCTTTACCCCGCGCCTGGCCCGGACATGCGCTTGGCCCGCCTGCCGGGAGGGCTGTTGCCTCCCTTTCCAGGGCCGAGCCCTCCGCCCCGCTCGGGAAGGTCTGCGGGACTGGACGCTTGAGGGGGGCGTCTGCGTGTGGGGCGAAAGGCGAGAGGTCGGGGCAGCGCGCGGGGCCCGACGGGCGGCCCGGAGCCGCAGCCGGGCCGGGGGCTCGGTCGGCCTTGCGCGGCAGACCCCGCTCCGGCTCCCCGTCTGTGCTCGGCGTGGTAGGCGAGCGTCGTCAGAGAAACTTCCTTGGGCCGAGCGGGGTGGCCTGGGGCCGGCTCGTACTTTCGCTCCGAGGGCAAAGCCGCCTCCGATGGGACCCTCCCGCCCCAGCCGCGTCGCCTCGGCGTCGTGGCCTCGGCCGTCCGCGCGCGGGTCCGGACGCGCTAACCCGCGCTACCTTTCCTCCTGGCTGGGAGCCGCCGCGGCTGCGACACGCGGGTCCGAGCCAGCGGCTCCAAGTCCCAGGTGTTTCCTTGGGGCACTTCGCGCACTGCTCAATATGGGGTGCGATTTCGTCTCCTCGTGCGCCCTTCCTCCCCGCACCCCGGCCCAGGCGGGGGCGAGCGTCCCGCAGTGCTCCGCACCGGCCCCGCCCGCTGGCGCTGAGCTGTCCCTGCGGCCGGCGCGGGCCCTCCGGGGCGCTGTCCATCGCTGGCTCTGGGCACGAGTGGCTCCCGGAAACCGAGACCTTGAGCGGGAAATGAACCTGAGCAAACGTCTGTTTGTTTGTGTTTTCTGCAGAGCTCTTTTTAGCAACTTTGTAGGGTTGGTAAATTTGTTTGCTTCTTACCTTACAATTCCGCTAGATCGCAAGGAAGAATTTATTTTTTTCATTTAGTTGATCTCTGCAAACACACTACTCTCTCCTTCCCCCCTCCACCCCTCCTCCTCCTGCCTCGCTTCGTGAACCCTTTTTCTCTTCTGAAGGAGGGAATCTCCGCACCTCCTCCCCTCCTCCTCCCACCCCGTCCCTGGGCGCCCGGGAGAACGGGGGAGTCATCAATGGAAATAAATAGGGCCCTGCTCCATTCTCCGCCCCCTTCAAACAAGTAAAATCCTCCCTGGGCTCCCAGAAGTAGAGATAAAACATCCTTCCCAAGGGAGCGGTTGCTGAGGATTTGGTGGGATTGAACTGTTTTATTATCCTGAAAGAAGTGATGGATGGATGCTAGAGGGGGTATGTGTATGGAGCAGAGTGTAGTGAGGGCGATCGGTATTTGTTATTATTCATTATTGTTTATTAAGAGTGATAATAAGGCCATAACCCTAGCTGAGGACTGTGTTTATACTTGATTTTATGTCAGTCTCTTATTACAGTGGTTTCAGAAAGTGAAAACACCAAAACGGTATTAATTCCTCACACTCATTCTGCATATGGGATTAATCAAATGTCAAAAAGATACTGTCATTTTACCAGACTTTTAATCCATGAACTTTTAAAAGGTTGCACTCTTATGAAATGTCATTTGCCTCAATCTGTCTTCTTAAAGTTTAAAAATCTTGGCAACATAATTAATTATGGTCCCAATTCCCATTTTCAATCTAAACCTATATTCAGGATTATATTAAAATACCCCTTATTCTTCAAAAGTGACTCTTATGAGTTTAAATTCCTGGAGGGGGTAAGGGGACAACTGGGAAGGAGGGGCCAAGAAGTTAGAGAAATTAGGACTATTTCAGATTTCTCTAAAAAATCCTTTACTTTTTCCTTTAAGGAAAGAAATTACAAGTCCCTTCTCTGCACAGTTCTTAACTTCAGTGAATGTCCTTAATCTTTACCACACACTTGAAACATAACAGCTTGCAGCCTTGTCTGCATCATTGTTTTCATTTTTGCGTCAGGACATTTTATTCATTAAACCTGTATGTCAAAGACTCAGGCTCAGCATGGCAGTGACACTCTGTTTTAATTAGTGACTATCATAAAAAAGAAGCTAGAACTCTGTAATAGGCCTAAATTGCTATGAATTATGTGTGGTTTAAATTATGCATTTATTTTAGCAGAAATCAAGCCATGAATATAAAACATCTTTTAATCACTTGCAGATACAGCTTTTATCTCATAAGATGTAACAAAATATATAATTGGAAAGTACTCGTCTAAGAATAAGGGAAGCCCCTACCCTCAGTTTATTTGTTCTGGGTCTATTTGACATTCATGTGATAAAGTATAAATGTTAAAGAGTCAAAACTGATGTCATAAGCCTTTCCAGTATCATGCAGAGGGTATGGTGCATTAGCAGTAGCCACAGTGGGTTAGTCCTCAGATAACTTAATGCAAAGACTTTTTAACAACTCAAAGTACTAACCACTATACGATCACAGCAAGAGACTTTTTCAATTGGTTTTATGGACCTTGGCAATTCAGATTTCAGTTTTCTCACTTGGACTTATCAAGGAGACTCTGTGGTAGGGGGAAAATATGTTCTAAAACTCTAACAAACTATTTGAAATGAAGTGGGGTGTAGAAATGAAGTGTATCTGTTGTTATCTTCCTATATTTATTTCTATAGCAGTTCTATTCAGCCTATCTAGAGGTCAGAATTTTTATTTTAAAACTGAGTGTTTTTCTTGCCATTGTTGTTAGAACATATTACTTTGATATGATGGATGAGCAGATACTGGAAATGGAATTGATTGTACCTGAATTATAAGAAAGCATGAGAGCGGTATGTGAATTCCACATAATATGTGTCGATTAAAATTATTTTAATCTCCCTTCCTGAGTTTCTCTGTGATAAGGAGGTTGATACCAGTGACCAACCAGTGCTCACTCACACTTTTTCTGCTGTCTTCTTGTCAGCCTTTGCTTTGGGGAGCCATGCACCCATAGCAGCAGCTGGTTACGGATTGAAACTTGCCAGAGTCAGTCGCCATGAACTAATGATTAGGAAAAAAGTATATCCCGTAGTCATCTGTGGGTCAAAGGCAAGCATAACCAACAAAAATAATTCAGCTAATTCATTTGACCTTGAAATAATAGCTAGACCTTATAAATGTTTATTTG